TAGGCATTAGCCTATTGGTTATAAGTGTGAAGATGTGATCATCCAGTTGTAAGTTCGCACTATTGCACTATGGCTGGAGTAATCCATATCCTGTTCTCATGCAAAATATGCGCTAGCTGTGGAGTTGCGGAAACTGCAGCCCCTACTACTACTATTGCACTTAAAAATGTTATTTCTGAGAATTACCGATCCATTACAGATCAGTGAATGTTAATACCTATTTACAGAAAAAAATGTAATGTTTTTACAGATCCAGACACTCAAAGCATCAGAAGATGAAACCAGTCTTGTAGCAACATTATCTTTACTCTCAATGGGTATAAAGTCTGTACCGCAAGCAGTACTGAGGAAACAATTCTCGGATTCAGCGACAATATTCATAGAATTACTAGAGAAGAATGCACAGAGTGACAATGGTACATTACTGCGGAGTATAATTGGGTGTCTTTCTGTGTTGCTGCGAGCACAGGAGTATGCGTTGTGGGGGGATTCCTCTACTATGAAAGTGTTTGATTCTGTCCTAGCGTTTGTACTGCATGCTAAACCAAAGGTTAGTATTGGTTATTTGGTTTTTTTATTTTGAATTACTGTACTATTAAGACATGACTGTACAATTTTTGCTGCTTTTTAAGTGATTTTAATAGAAATTCTTTAAAAATTAAATGCACAGTCTTTTGACTAAACTATCGCACAACTGTTGTGCGATTGTCGATTGTTCCGCAGCCAATCCAACTATTTAGTTGTATAACTAAACATTGAGTGTGTGTATTTTCATATAAACTCATAGGATTCAAAGCGAGTCAAAACAGTTGTGCGATAGATTAGTCAAATGTGTTTGCATGCTTTAAAGTAAGGTAGTTTTTATATTTCTGTTCAGGTAGTACATTAATTTTTATTTTTATATTCTAGGTACGAAAATCAGCGCAGCATGCTATCACAGCTATTTTACGAGGCAGTTGTTTTATGTTGCCTACAGATGAAGACAAAGCCAAGGTATATTTGCTTACTTAATTCCATCTACTAGCTGTTCGCGTGCGGCTTCACCCGCATGAAATTATAAATTTATTATTTGCATTTGTCAAATTATCAATAGCAAATGTCAAAATGACATGACATGACTTTGTTTCCTTGATGTTGGCAGCAACTCATGGTCTCTTTCACACATTAGGGTTTTTATCTAAAATTTTTACCCCCTAAGTTTAATGGCGTGAGAATATATAGCCTAAAGTGTGACGTAAGTGTAGGGCATATTATTAAAAAACTAGTTATTCAAAAACATGCTGTAATTGCTGAGATCTTAGGCAACAAAGAAGTGTGTGTTTACGCTTTATTATAATAAGTATAGATTAACAAATTCCTTAACTAGGCATAAGATTTAGCCCATACAACTTAGCTAATTCAAGGAATAACTTAACTTGTAAATTAATAAATCAAAATATTGTTATAACTTTTCTATTTATCCACCTATTGATATAAAACTAACAGTAAATGTTAACTGAAACTTACCACAATAAGTTAATTAAAACCGCATCGAAATTTGTTAAGTCATTTTTGAGATTAGCGCACACAAACACACAGACAAACATCCTAACAATTGTTCAATCATACTTCATACTAATATTATAAATGCGAAAGTTTAGATGGATGTTTAGAGTTTGTAGTCTAAACGGCTGAACGGATTTCAATGGAATTTGGTATAGATGTAGAGGACGTTCTGGAAGAACACATAGGGTACTTACTTATTTTTTTTTTAATTCCACGCGGATGAAGTCGCGGGCGAAAGTTAGTATTATATATTTTTGACCGACTTCCCAAAAGAAGGAGGTACTCAATTCGTCTGTATGTTTTTTTTTTTTATTTTTTTTT